TACATGTACATGTACATATCTAGTGCTGTATAGCCGAACTACTCGGTAGTGAAGCGGACGTAAAAACTAGTAACCAATCGATCAATCTACAGTTTTGGCAGTGGTGCGGGAGTCCTTAATTAAGGGCGACTTGATACGTGTAATAAAAGGAAAATGTCTATTGTGGGGAAGGACCTAGTCCCAAATATTTACCTTAACACATTTTTAATCTGAATGATTTTTCAAAGCGGTTTTCGGAAGGTCCATTTGTATCTGTTAATGGTGGTTTATTTTTCTTATTTTAGATTTTCACTCTTGAAATGAGCAAGAGTTCAGCGGAGCAAGGGAAATAACTCGTAGAGGAATGCAGTCGGCGTGCAGAAAGGGTAAGTACTCGTGCCGACTTGGTTGAACGTATTTTTTCAAGTCCATTCAAGAATGAGGACGATACTTACTGGTATAGACTACTCTTGTCTCCCACGTGTGTTCGATATAAACAATGTAAGCTTTGGAAACTTATAACCCGATTATCCGAATTCCGATATCCGATAAACCGTATCTTGATAATCTCGGATCCGATTATCCGACATCTGACAAATTCGGAACCCGACTACGAGAAAAACAGTTTATAATTCACAAATCAAACAAACTTTATTTTTATCATAACATACCTTACTTGAAACTTTTCTTGGTCAGATATGGAATATCTCGTTATTCCGCCAAACATTGTTATGGAACCTATAGATATGTAAAAATTACAAGAAAAATCCATAGTGCATTACATTTACACTGTATAAACTGGTCCCTACTTTATGATGTCTGTATATTATACTTAGGGTGATAATGGACAGCACGTGAAACAATTACAATTATAAAGATTTGTTTGTCTGCTAATTATATCTGATATCTACAGTACAAGCTTCAGAAATATGTCAATCGGCATCTTCCGTAAACGAGAAAATATTCCGACCGCCACGTTACGGAAAGTGTCGAAGATTCAAGATAGAAGGAGTTCAAGACAACAAAAGTTTTTATAACACATCCTCTATATTTCAAACTTTGTTCAATGAATTATTTTGATCTCATTATCAATCAATCTACATAGACTTCAGACACTATCAAGACACACGTATACCATTTTTTTTTTTTTTTTTTTATATATTTGCAACAATTTCTATTTCCTACTTCCAGAGACACTCAGTAATTGTTTTAAAGTTTAATTTCTGTGACGTCATTTTGACGTTTAAATTCAGTTAAAAAAAAGAGTTTCATATGTACAGAAAAAATCATAGACTTAATGACGCAAAAACGGGAAATTTTGAACGAGCACTACATAATGTTTTATCGGTAAATTGAATGACAACTGTATTGAGAAACATTCATTGAAAATAAAAGTAAAAGCGTAAATAGTGTGAAATTAATTTGTGACCCAATGTATAGTGGGTGAACGATCAAAAACCAAAACTGATGACGTCATACACAAATATTGGATATTAGAGATACGTTTATTATTGAGATGTTTTGTTATCCCTTTCAACCCTATGTAACTTAAGTAGACTCTACTATACATTGATCTGAATGAGTCCATTATGGTCTAAAGTGGTGAACGGGTTAAATCACTACAGTATATACCTGTACGTGACAGGTGAGGGTTGTCCGCTAAATGACGAGGCCCTATACGCCCCCGCTTTCCGCTACATATGTATCTTGCGTAATACTCTAGCAAAACTAACGTCACTGTACCCAAAACGGGACACTTTTTAGAGAAATATCAATGTCCTTTATAGTATATTATCAATTCCTAAAATGTTTGTTCATTTTTCATAGATTATGGCATCTATTTTTCATTTCTACTATAATTTCTCATTTCTATAAGTCGAACGCGAAATACTATCAGGGTCACGTAGGCCCTTGAACAGGCCTAGGTGTTCCTGTATCCTGAAGGGGACACTTTCGTATTTCATGTTTAATATTGGAGGATAAACGATCAATATCAGCGGGAAATTATGTATACTTCAAATATTTAAGAGTCAAATGGAGTTCTGATTAAATTTCTTCTCCAAAATTGTGTTAGTTTTGATAAAATAGACTTTTGAAAATGATGTCTAAATAAATAGCGTCGTACGTGCTGCACGTAAATCAGGAAAGTCTTGTTTTGGTAATTAATTCTTACGTTTAAATTGCCCATGTTACGATAATCAGCAGGCAAAAAACCTTTTATACAGTTAAATTGTCATAAAAGAATTTTCATGAAAGGCATTTCTACTGAAACTTGATCTAAGCCACTAAAACGTGTAAAATAACTTTGAACAAATTAATTTAGGTCCAAATATAGCAGTACATGTAACAAATTTTCAGGTCCCTGTGATTGCAGGCAGGAGATATTCCTTTTTCACAATTTGAAATTCAGTATAGTTTAAAATATCCTTTTAATACAGTGTACGTAATAAAAAGACTTCGATACTTCCTTATAATTTCATATGGAAGGCAAATAAACTCTTTCTGTGCATACTTAATTGTGATTTATGCATTGGAGGCTTGGGACTCTAGTGGTTGGACGCCGGGCTCGTGACCGGAGGGTTGTGGGTTCGAGTCTTTGAGCAGGATACTTTCCTCCGCTTGTTCCAGTCTACTCAGCTGTAAATGATCATTTAAATGAGCACGTCGTTGGACAGTGCTAGAATTGTAGAATGCTTGCTGTGTGCGCCGAAATAGCAGTACCGGCTGTATGCTCCCCAGGGATTTGAGAAAGATATTGGCTGGTTGGAAGGCCGTTCAACCACGGATAATAATTTGTGAACAGCTTTGAGACGACCTACGAACTAGGTTGTCATAAATCGGTATATAAGAACCTCGAATTAATATCATTATTATTATTATTGTGGACTGAGAATTATAAGGCCCGATAGGCGTAAATTATTAATTTTCCTGTTTGGTGATAATGACGTCATCGGTTTACGAGTAATCCGCATATAAATTATACAATGACATGTGAATGTAATAGACAAAATTAATCATATATATTTAGATACGTTTTATAATTAATTACTCCCATGTGAATTCATGTTATGACGTCATCGCACGTGAGGTTATTTTAAACATACACACAGGAGATTTTGAATATTCGAAGCAAAAATGTATGTCACTCTGTAATTTTTAAAAACAAATGAGTTTGTTCATCAAATCTTGAACAGTGCAAAAACACATTGTTAGTATGCATCTCACTGGTTCTGCATGTATCAAACAAACCTAAATTCTGTTAACATTGTTTCATAGGAAAACAAACATCGACAAAGACAGACAGAATTTCCAAGTAAAGGTCTTTCTCAGTCTGTCTTGTAACGTTTTACTGGACTTTGTCCGTCTGTCTTGTAACGTTTTACTGGACTTTGTCTGTCTGTCTTGTAAAGTTTTACTGGACTTTGTCAGTCTGTCTTGTAACGTTTTATTGGACTTTGTCTGTCTGTCTTGTAACGTTTTACCGGACTTTGTCAGTCTGTCTTGTAACATTTTACTGGACTTTGTCTGTCTGTCTTGTAACGTTTTACCGGACTTGGTCAGTCTGTCTTGTAACGTTTTACTGGAGTTTGTCAGTCTGTCTTGTAACGTTTTACTGGACTTTGTCTGTCTGTCTTGTAACGTTTTACTGGACTTTGTCTGTCTGTCCTTTAACGTTTTACTGGAGTTTGTCTGTCTGTCTTGTAACGTTTTACTGGACCTTGTCAGTCTGTCTTGTAACGTTTTACTGGACTTTGTCAGTCTGTCCTGTAGCGTTTTACTGGACTTTGTCTGTCTGTCTTGTAACGTTTTACTGGACTTTGTCTGTCTGTCTTGTAACGTTTTACTGGACTTTGTCAGTCTGTCTTGTAACGTTTTACTCGACTTTGTCAGTCTGTCCTGTAGCGTTTTACTGGACTTTGTCAGTCGGTTTTGGGTTTTATTGAACTTCGTCATACTTCCTATAATGGTTTATTTGACTTCATCGTCTATTTTAGACCTTTACAAATCTTCCCTAGCTAGTCTGTCTTGTAATTTTCATGAACAGATATAGAATCGTGCCAGCCTGGCATGCTTAAACGTTTTCTAGACTACGTCTTGCAAAGGTACGAGAATTCGTCATTCTGTCTTGTAATATCAAATGTCATATTGCCTTGAAAACGTGTACTAGACCTCATTAATTCGCCATAGAGAATTTACAATTTTTCCCGTTTAAGGCTTCGTCAGACCTGTTTCGTATGGCTTTGTCTAGCTATTCACGTACATTTTCCGACAGTCTAATTCTGCAGGCCAACTGCTTGCCTTATTTTGCCTCTCTCTTTCCACAGCGAGCAAAGTGAATCAGATCAAGTGATGCCAACATGTTAAATGGGAATAAAATATGTTTATAAGTTTTATATTATATTTGAATTCGTACATTTACAGACCCTTTAACAATATTTATGTCTCAAGAAAAAAACCTAATGCTGTATTATAATTACGACATCCTATTTTTGCTTTATTTTTGTTTTTTTAATTATGAACGTTTTAATTGAATATTTAAAAGCGTTTATTTTGAATGTATGACGAAAATACAAAATATTTTCCAACATCCTCAGTCTCTATTAGAAACCTTGCCAGACACACTGTGAAACTCACAAATTGTTTCAAGACAGCTAGAATAACACCTCGAGCGATAACTAAATCATTGGGTGCTCTCCAGACATTTCAAATTTGTTCTTAGCGTATACGTACATAGACGCGTAAATTTTAACGTGAACAAATATATAGCCGCGCAGGTGTGGAAGTCGAGACAGTTTCAAACTCGCGGTACACTCAGAATCAAGTTTATCAACTGGGTATGTGTGTCTTGAAGATGATAATTCTAGAGAACAAAACAAGAATTGACGTCAAATATAATTAATCCGCTTAACTTGAATTGAAGTATAATAGCCCGCGGTAACCCTTACGACAGATGATAGCAACCCGCACGCGCACACTCAGCAACCGTACGATACGCGCGTGCTGCATTAAAGCATCTGGATGTGTACTTGATGAGTGTTGAAAGAGGCTGTGAATTTGTGAATGAACAGACGTGACACGTGCAGTGTTTATTTGTTTGTGAGTTGCACAGGTAATGTCCTTACATTCTCCCAATCAATCTGCCGCTCACTCGCGGCCTATAGCATACAGCGAGCGATGCCATTAGTATGATGACTGGCTCAGTGGCCCGCGCTCATCGCACTCTTCATCTCCCAGCCGATGATTGATCCAGCCACTGGACCGTAGTGTTACACTCGGGAGGAGGAGAAGTAGATGTACTAGCTAAAGGAGGAGGTTAAACAGCGCGGGGACACTTGTGATATCGAATTCTAACAAGCTGGATTTCTGTTAAACAAAAGCTTTGGATTATTTACCGTGTAACCAAGTCGATAGTCAGTGTTCAAAAGGATTTGTGATATTCTGTGAGGAATTTCTACTATTTTGTGTGGAGAGTATGTGATTCCAACGCCAAAGAGATATGACCGTGGGGTCGGGCCACGCCATACACTCCCGGGGGTGGTGGCTGTTGCTTCTGGCCTGTCTCGGACAGACCGCATACGGTAAGCAAATGTCCTAATAAGTAACTGTATCCTTTGTCACAGAAAAAAGTGTTAATTACAGAGGCGATAATAATTAACGTGATACAGGCTCTGTAGAGCAAAGACCAGGGTTAATTTAATGGAGAGGTACTCTATTTTTTGACCTGTTAGAAAGAAAAAAATTGTAACTAACATGAAAACACATATAGATTCTCCATAGACCAGGGTTAATTTAATGGAGAGGTTCTCTATTTTATGACCTGTTAGAAAGAAAAAAATTGTAACTAACATAAAAACACATATAGATTCTCCATCACTCTGAAGCTTAAACCTTTTTAAATGTACACATGTGATGTATGAGTATTGAAAAACAACATTAAACTTCGGAATAAAACATTAAATGTTTTAATGATAGGCACTGTTTTAGAATCAGAATGTTGATAAACAAGACAATTTCCCGAGTACATATATATCGATCACAATACTTCTATGTCAAGTTTTAATGCTCCCAACCTTGGAAACGATAATGTGACCAGAGACCTATATTACACGTCTTTGATGTGATGCCCTGATTTGAAGTGTTAAAATTTATTTCGAAACACGCCGCCTAACATGCAAAAAGATTTTTTTTTTAAATTTGTTTTTCCCTACTGTGCCCTGTGGCATGTTTTAACCTGTCTTTGGTACATCTGTTTTAAAGACAAAAGGCAGATATCATTACTTGTATGGGGGGGATATGTATCTTTTACTTATACAATTTACCTTATATATATATAGTAACACATGTAGCAATTTTATCATGAATTAAGTCATTTATTTATGCTAGAACCCTAAATTTCCCTTCATTTATCTGTAACAAACCTCTTTGTTCCGTACCAGAGCCCTACGTGATCGTCGGTCATACCGTGTATGGTTATTGTGTGAGTCAATCCATTCATTGTACATGTGTGGGTCTTCTGTGTTTTGTCACAATGACAGAAAAAAAATCAATTAGAATTTGCCAATTGACAGATTTTTTTCCATGCTTATATCTTGAGGGCTCATTCCCATTGACTCTTTTTGTTTGATAAATAATTGAAATTGAAATTAAGGATTTACTGATGCAAAAATGCACAATCTCTGTGAACTGAGAGACAAATTTAACTGATAATAAAAAAGAAGTTTGTTTTTAGGTAACATGCCTGAAAAAAAGGGTAGGTCAGGTCAGTTGGCAAATAATTTTATTTTAATGTTAATTTTTTTATTTTCATGAATTAATATTATGATTTATTTCAAATTTTATAATGCATTTCCACCCATTGCTATTAATTTGTCAAGAATAAGGTCAGACTCCCTGATCAGGAAGAAAGTACATTTTAATGAGTGGCTGTGAGCTTTGCCTAGCTAATAAATTAATCTTAGATACAAGTAGGTGAACAAATATCTAGGGTTGGCAGTGAAATCTAGGGTAGGTCGTGGTACCTATACACATATATATATATATATATTTTTGGCTTGTTGACGTTAAACTTGACTTTGGCATAAAAGAATGACAGAAAGACAGAGAAAAATTGGTCCAGGTACAGTATTTCATCGTGTTTCAAACACATTAGTCATACAACAAGTCTTCTGCTGTAAAAAGGTCTAATTAGTGGGATGCCATTATATTAATGAAATGATTCTCTCAAATATCTCCTACTTGGAGTAATTTCCTTAAAGGAAAAACCGTTCCATTCATCAAAATATTTCATTGTTTGAAATGGTTCAAGTATGATGATTAAGATTGAATATTTAATTGAAAAAGTTGATGCTATTCAATTAACATTGTATTAAACTCCGAAGCGGCTTCAACTTGAAAAAAACCTGTGAATACGGTACTGAAAATTATATGTGGCCGGGTGTGATGACAACAACCATGGATATTAATTATCTAAAGGAAATAAACAATCACCGGTAACACACAATTCTTTTTTTGTATTTCTACATATATATGTATATATATATATACGAGAGAATTAAAAGGAGGCAATTATTTCGGCATGTGTAGGAAAATTCCATTTTACTTCTTTCCTTCAATAGAATTGAACGATTGAAATAGTTATAAATAAGAGTTCTTGATATAAACGTGTTCGGAGGCTGACTGAGTTTTATTGACAAAACACATAAAGAGTGATTGTAAGTAGACTGAGTCACTTTTTTGAGATGTGTACCATATGAATAAGTAATGATCCTACGGTGCTGGTAGATTATTTGGTTCGATTAACGACCTCCGACCACGTTTATGTTAGAAATACATGCAATGGTCTGTTTAACTATTGAACACACAATATGTTGCGGAGAAATAAAATGCAAAATCTGCATTGGCTATAATTTTTCCTGATTTCAAAAGCTTTCTGATATGTATTTTTTTTATATCTTTGTATTCTTTGTATTATTCTGCCGTTAATGGATCGTCTTTTTATATTTCAAAAGTATGGCATGCTGAAGGTCATTTGAATTTTTAACTTATAGTATACATATAATATTTACAAGTTTTAAAAAGATGACTACATCTGTTGTCCTAGTGTGTCTGCTTTGCAATCAGACACTAGGCTTCCATTCAAAAGTTTAATCGGCAGTATTCTATTCTTAGTCAATTAAGCCTCTATATGGCAACATTCGTATTGTTTTATCTAATAGTAGATATGAAGATCCCCGCGTGCAAACAACCGGGCCAACAAGAATGATTAATCCAAGTTGAAATAATCTGTTTCATAATTATTTTAAAATAAAGTTTATATATAATCGTAGACAACACTTTCTGGTGAACATCCTGGACACAAAAAGAATCATGAGAAAAAACACTGAAAAAATTAAGGATCCCCGTACCACTGCCAAAAACTGTAACAAATATTGGAAAATATTTTTTTCCGGGATGACTACAGCTTTGTTAAATCATTTCTGAAAAGAAAACCATACCTTATGGAACTTTGATGAGAAATAATATTAAAGATGAAATCAAAATATGATAAATAATAAGTGCTTTTAGTGTAAAAATTCAGTGGGGCTAGCTAGACTGGGATTCAAACACCGAACTTCAGATTTGTTATACATCGGCAGTCTGTCCTGTCACAACTGTTCTGCAGTTAATTTAAACAGAAGTTAAGGGGAGGTAATACTGTATATAAGGAAAAATATAATGTAGTGGGACAGGGATCCTTAAGTCTCTTGTCTTTTTGTTTGTTTATATTTCTGATATGAAGGCACGGTAGTCTAGTGGTAGGACGCCAGGCTCGTTACCGAAGAGTTGCGGGATCGAGTCACGCCACGGCGCTGTGTTGTATCTTTGAGTAAGATACTTTACTCCGCTTGTTCCAGTCTACTCAGCTGTAAATGAGTACGTGGTTGGGCAGTGCTAGAATTGTAGAATGCTAGCTGTGAGCGCCGAAATGGCAGCACCGGCTGAATGCTCCCCAGGGAGTTGAAAAATATATTGGCTCGTTGCAAAGGCCCTATAACCATGGATAATAATTTATGAACCGCTTTGAGACGACCTACGAACTTAGAGGTTGCTTGTGATAAAGCGGTATATAAGGACCTCAAAGTAATAATATTATTATTATGTAAATCTGATATAAAAAAAAGAAAAACATGATTACTCTGTATATAGGACATGTCAATCAGTATTTTAGGGATTCGACAATTTAACGGAACTGGACTAGCTAGGTCGACTACCAGCAACCTAAGGGTAGCTCAATTAGTTAGAGCGTCCATCTATAGAGTTTGGAGGATGGTCCTGAGTTCGAATTCTATTCTGCCCATGGATTTTCCCTTTATCCTTACATTTGCAGTGGTGCATGTTCAACTTAATATACCATTTTAGTCATAAATGAGTAATATTTCTTAACACAAACCATATAATGTGTTGCTGGGTAAATTACTTCATACATCATACAAGATATTGGACGTGTTTCAACTTTGGTTTGACTTATTGCTGAAATGCTAACACGGTACCTCAGTGATTCACAGTTTCAATATTGGGACGTCTCCCTACCAATAAAAACCCAGCCTCTTAATTTGTGGACTCAGGCATGTGTCTGCCATAGAGGGAGTGAGTAATATAAATTTACTGATCTCAGCGTTCATATTTTTGACCTTTTTCAAACATCGATTCTGTTTTGTTTGGACACATCGTGATGTGTATAAGAGCGAAGGTTGGATCTAAGATGACATGTTTGATTAAGCCTGCTGGGAACGTTTACAGCGTGCATGGTGGATGATGCAATTGATCAAGAAACTGTCAAAAGAATTAATTCATTTTGTAATAAGTTGTTCAGAGGAAGTGTTTTTTAACAGATCGCTATCTTGTATAAATTTCTATTGATCTTGATGCTAACAGAAAATGCAATGTGCATTGGTATTTTGTTGTGGTGATGTTAAGGACGGGTGCCTGGTGGTTTTTGAAATATTTCTCTATTAAAAAGATAAAAGACATTATGTAGTTCACTGTGAAAGCATTTTTGAATTTTTCATAAATGCCACAAAATAAAGAAAACTCTAAAGAAAAGTGCTAAAATTAAACAATTATAGTTTCAGACTTAGTCAGGGCCCATTGTATATGTAGCTACAGTAAGTTGTTTTTCAATTTCAAAATTATTTTATTGACAATACATATATAATACAAACATATAAGTTAACATTAAAGAAGACATTAGAACAGTATTGACAAAAGAATAAGACAACAGGCTTTGCCTATATCAGTCTTCTTCTAATTCCGGTAGCTATGTACAATGCTTAAATATCTAAAATGTTGTGATTCGTTTTCCTCTCACACTCATGCACACCCACACCCACACCAGCTTATGTCTAATACTCGTTATTTAAGGGATAAAACTTGCCTGAATAACAATAATAATAACAATATATGAATATTCATTTGGAATTTATCTAGCACGTATAAGTAACGAAACGTTTTGATGATTTAATATAAGAGTCAACATGTATAAGAATAGTTTTATTTAATTGGTTGGATGCATTACTAATACCATATACTAAACAGTGCA